TTCAAGTAAATTCAGAAAATAAAACAAAATGAAAACATTCATGATACAAATTGACAGGCTGAAAACTCAGCAGACAGCTCGGGATAAGAAGAATTGGATTCCAGAGAGACGCAGTCTTATAGGAAGGGTCATACTCCTTCCATGCCTACAGTATACTTTACACATAGGTTCTGGTGTAGCCCTAGCCTACCCCGATGGAGATAATCTCACGCCATGTTTGCTTCACCTACAAGCTGACGCCATGTTTGCTTCACCTACAAGCGGACGCCATGTTTGCTTCACCTACAAGCTGACGCCATGTTTGCTTCACCTACAAGCTGACGCCATGTTTGCTTCACCGACAAGCTGACGCCATGTTTGCTACAACTAGATAGTCACTATGTAAATAATACAAAGACTTAGGGAAACGGCTGCTTCTATGATGTGCATACAAGTGGGGGTTGTATGGACAAAGAATACATCTATACATTCAATGTGAACGTCTCTGAGATTTCAGAAAGGGATTCAATTTAAGCAGCATAAGATGTAGTCAATATGCCAAAGTCTCAAAACTTTGAAAAGCCGACTCAGTGCCATTTTGTTTTGGATGATGGTCCCCTAGGGGACACCAAGAAGCATCAAGTCATAGAAGGCCATTATGATATAAGTGGATGAAGCTAATTTGCTCTACCTATTATAACTCCTACTTTTGTATCCAAACATTGGACATGTTCAGCGTGGGATCTATAACCACCAGACAAATTGGGTGATCAAGAGATGAAGGGACTGGAAGGCTGGATTCACATCTATGGGATACTGTAACGTACCATAGCGTGCTTTCTATCTATGTGCCTTGCTATTCACTTTAAATGGCACCATAATGCATATAGAGCAAGAAAAAAAAGGAGGAGGGGCATTTCATGCATTGAAGGCTCATTCCAAGTGAATGGGCTGCTAAAACACAGCAAATGTGTGAGTCCCACAATAAATGTCTCCTAATCACCTTCATCCAAAAATACATTCTATAGTATTAGGGTCAGACCAATATTTCAGAGACGTCAGGTCTGCCAACCCACTAGGACATTACACAGAGAGCGCTATGTAACTAGGAAGCTGAATGGCTGGATTGTCCAATTACTAATCGTTACATAATTCATGTCAGTTACTGACGGTGTAAAGCTGTGGAAGGACTATGACCGGCCCGTAGGACCGCACTCAATGATCGCAAATGTTTAGATGTGCCATGTAACAACAACAAAATGTCCAAAGGCTTCCCATCTCTCTGGCAGCAAATTCTCCTTCCTTGCTTTAGGATTCCACATATAAAAAGGGGACAGCGGTTCACCATGGAAACATTTCAAATGAAATTGAAGACAAAAAAGGAAGTCGTTCTCCTTTCTGTTTTTGGTTTGTCTGCATGAAATAAACAGCTGAGAATGAAACAAGGAATTCCGCGGTATCCTCGGAGGAATTGTGCTTTAACATTTCATTTCAAAAGGCAAGATAGATAACATTTGTAGGTCTCTTCGTGCCAATGCTCCGGTGTACCCGTCAGCCATCCGCAGCCATTTTGGATGCAGTCTAGGAACTCATCATTTACCTCAGTGATGAGCAAAATGGCCACTTTAAGAAGGCCCCGGGTACACGTTAAGCAGTGCGCAGGAAGAAACCCCTGGCCTTGCCACACTGGTCTGTGATACTGTGCTTCTGTATCATAACATTTCATCTCTTATCATTTAGGACAGGCCCATGTGGCAGCCAGAGCGACATTTTAAACAGAAAGCTCAGCTTTATTTAGAAAAAAAAAAAAAAGATAATAAATAGCTATTTTACATGTGTAAAGTTAATAGTGGTACACTTCGTATCACATTATGCATGCACAAAAATGTTACTATACACTGCAGGAAGTCAGAAAACAATTTTACAGAAATAGATATATCTAAGATAAAGAGTCAATTTACAGGTATTTACAAAATTCTTGCAATTATTGCCTCATCACGAGAATTAAGAGGTAAAGATTTAATGCTAGCTCACAGTTTCCAACACTCTTTTTGCCCACACAATCAGCAATGCAATACTTTAAGAAAAAAAAGTTAAACACAAAAAGGGGCAGAAAAAAAATACAAATTAGCACGTTGCCACAGCAACAGGGAGAGCCCCACTTCCAGGCAGAGGGGTGCCAAGGAGAGAGGCCCGTAAGGCTTTACTAGACAGGTCTATGATTCATACACTAGAAGTAAACTAGCATTACAAAAGGCGCGCGTCACCAGCTCAACTCGTTACACCCTCAAAAAGTCATTTGGTCAAAAATAAAAAGTTGAAATATTCTTTTTACTTCTGTTAAACAAATAAAGTGTCTTTACAAACTGCGGACAATCAAAACCACTGGCACCAATCGCCACTCTGTCTTCATCTACATTGAGATTCCAGCAATGCATAGATTCACTGAATATTACTGCATTTGCTATGGAGAATGATCATGGTTTGATAAAAGTGCAACAGGTTGAGCATTCGGTCATCCTTAAGCAGCTATGATTCCTACGCCCATTCCCAGGATAAAAAATTAAAACAAATGACTTGAAAAGTGTATGGAAACCCCAAAATCTGGTTTTCTGTACGTTCAGTACAACATCTCACTGTGTAGTTTTCTTAAGCCGTTAATTTATTGAAAAATGTATTACCTGGAGATCCAGTAACAGCACTTCCGGCTGCAGGCTGACAACAGTGAGCCACTGTCTCTCAATTAGCAGCAGCGTTGTCAACCTCCTGTTTGTGCTCTTTCAGTTGGTTGTCGGGCTGTCTTATCAGGTCTACACATGCCTCCTGCAGCCCAACAAACTGAAGGGGATCACACAGCTAAAGGGGATCACACAGCTAAAGGGGAGGAGAGCACACAGCTAAAGGGGATCGCACAGCAGGCTGACAACATTGATCCTAATTGAGAGGCGGTGGCTCAAGCTGAGTATACACGGTACGAATCTGGGTTGGTTCCTGAAGAACCCCCCGAAATTTGACATTGTCAGCACCCTTCCAGCTGACATCCCTCGATCAGCTGATTGAAGGAGCCAGTTGGAAAATTCTTGACTGGACGAAGCAAGCAAAAACTCAAACGGGTGTTCTGAAAGCCACTGGCAGTTGCTATGCAGCGGATTGGTCCATTAATGCGCGAATGCATTGATGGAGGAATCGGTTATATTTTTCCCCTTTCAGGTTGAAGGAAGAAAATAGAAGCGTGTACACTCGGCTTTAGCATTGCCAGCCTGCAACTGGAGGTGCCGTTACTGGCAGGATCTTTGCACAGATTCACAACAAATGCGTTTCTCTGTATACAGCAAGAGGATTCCGGGTCTGCATACACTAGACGAGCGGGCAAACATAATTCTGACAGGAATACTAAATCTGAACACGAATGACAGAACACGGGAAAGGTACGTTACCGCCCACTGTTATCAGTCCAAGTCTGCAGTGTAAACTTTAATTATCCTTCAAAAACGGCAGTCGCTCGGGACCGATACCAACGCAGTTCACAGTAAGTTTAATAAATACCCTCCCTCAGAAAACTCTAGCTATGATCTATGCTCTGTGAACACCCCCCCAAACGTGTGCCATGAGTGGCCACATTCCTCGGATGGACTATGAGACGACATTCTCAACTCCTGAGCCTCTCTGGAGCAGCGGTAGAATACAGAAGACAGATGCAAAGTAAAGTGTGCAGTGTGAAGGACTCTTTGGCAGAGGAAGCACACGAGATATGTGCGGGGTTCGGGATGGAAAGCTTTAGGCCTCTCAGCAGTATATATGTATTGGAGAATCATACCCTCTAATATGATCTCTGTGACAATAGACTTGGACCACGGGTTAAGTAACTAGCGGTACATCCAGGTCCCACCCATGCAAGTCTGAGAAGGTTCAAAACAAGAATGAGTGCTTTCATGGAAAATTAGGATGTGCGGTCTATCACTTTTTCCACTTAAAGTGTATGTTAAGGCAAAAAAAAAATGTCTGCAGTAAATCTCTGCTATACAGGCACATTTCTCGGTGTTATCCCTTTAGAAAAACAAAAACAAAACTGAAAGTACACAAAAAGACCCGTTTATCCACGAGAAATCCAGTGAGCTCCTAATTTTCTGTTTGCTGCACTGAAATCCCAACCGACATGGTCAGCCCTGCCTGCTGAACTACAGACCTCCTATCCCTGCCCCTCTCCATGTGCATACATTGATTTCTTCCCAGCAAAACAATGTGCTGCCTGCCCACACAGTCCTGTCGGGAGATGTAGTTCTGGGGTGTGCCTATGTCAATAAAAACTTCCCTTCCAGCAGCTGCCTCTGCAGAAATTTTACAAGGCTGCCGTGTATTAAAAGCCGTTTCTCGCAACAGGAACGAAGATGGAAGAAATAATGCTGGGACATGATCTAAAGGGGATGATGGAGTTTTGGCGGGTAAACTTGGGCAATGCCTGGACATACACTTTAAGCTTCCGCGTGAAAGGTTTCAGATACACAGATTAATGTGTAATTTATTTCTTTTTTTTTTTTAATTGGACAAGTGGTATCCCCCCCTCCCCCTTCCTCTCTGGATGAAAAATACACCACCACAAAAAGAGAAAAGAAGAAAAGACACATTCAGCTAAGCTACACAGATCCACACTCTGGCAGTATCAAGAACATTGTGTATTCACCCAAAAACATAGTGAAGTGTATACTGTCCCATGCACCAGCTGTACACGCTGGTCGTGGTTTCAGCTCAAGTCCTCTCATCTCTTATGAAATGGTATGCATAAAGAAAAAACATGGCGGAGGGCGGACTGTGCAGCTCAAATGAGCATTTCTATCCCTGGTTTAAATAAAAAAAACAAAAACCAAATGCTACATTTAAGCAGGGATCGGACTGGTACCTGTAAACATTGGTTATCCTCTGAACTCTCTGCTGTAAAAGGGAACTTACATTAAGAGTCGCCTAGTTAGATTATGAACCTGTGCTGGCTTTATTTCGTTTTTTTTTTTCCATTTTTTTTTTTGGAGATGGAGACCAAAGTTTAATCTACCCAAATTTTAAGAAAAATAGAAGTTAAGCCTAAAAGCTGCTTTCCCAGATCATGATCCGAGTTCCCAACTCTGCCGAACATTATCATTTCCACTTTAAATGGACCGAAAAGAAAAAGAAAAAAAAGTTAAATTCTTGACAAAAATCAAGATACGGTTGTTTACATACAAAGACATCACTGATGTCATAGTGAGAAAAGTTCAAACTTCCAGTGAAAGACTAGGCAAACCCGAAGTTTATGATCAGATTTCGCGGCGGCTGCGTTCCCAAAAAAGAACGTTCGTAGGAGGCTGGAGTCACTCCGACTGCAGGGCTGTATGGTGTAGTGTGTGCGAACTTATAAAACTATTTGTGTCATTCGCAGAAAGACTGCTAAAGTCTGCCATGGATACAGCCATTTTGGCACTGGTAATGTGGTGCGCGTGGTTCTCAAAGTCTACGCTTAGGTTATTTACAGACACGTCGTTGATGAACGGTTCTGGGACGGAGATCCCCATTTTTATCCTTTTTGCCGGCCTCTCGTTTTCTTCGCTGCATAAGCTCACCGAGGTGAGCTCAGGAGGATAAAATCCAGTCTCAAATAAGGTAAAGCAATCGCTTTCGCCGTTGTTGGGCATGGTGAGCAGGTCTTCTGTCCCGATAGGCACGTGGTTCACTGGGCCGCGGGGCAACGGGTCTAGCGGCGGGAAGCCGTCATTTAAACAGTTTATGTCTGGAGAATTGCATACGGTGGTCACGCTGTGAGTCAGTGCTGAAAGAATCAGGGAACAGACAACAATAAATATGGATCTGAATGACTCTTCTCAGGTATGCACTGAAAGTGCTCGCCATTGTGCTATACACAACCGTTTTTACGGAGGACAGAATGTTCATCACAAGGACTACTCACCTGTAAAGTCGCTAGTTATAGAATGCAGAATGTTAAGCTGGGTCTCGGGGATGGACTCCGTCCGATTCTGACAGGTTAAGGCTGATGGACTCTCAGCTCCTCCAAGTGCCTCGGCTTCATCTACCAATCTGTCCATGTAATCCCTACATAGAAGAAACAATGATCGATTAACATGGCAACAAAGAAGAGGAGCCACACTTTGTGGCCAACATCCAGCTGAACTACAGGATTAAAATAGTATTTAGGTTGTAGGTTGCTCCACTGAGAAACGTTTTCTATGTAGCCGTGTGTGTTCACTACTACTCAGAGTCATGATGGACAATGAATGAAGCTGAATACAATACAATCAAACTATGGAGATGGAATTTTATGACCACATTTCCCTTTGTCTCCGGGAGTCATGACTGTGACTGTCAGTTTTGCAATATCATATGGGATGAAGTTCCACAAGAGATGGCGGGTTGAAGTTTGACTATGCCTGGTCTATGGCACTGCTCCTTCCCTGGCCAGCGAGGGAGGGACACTGTTGGAGTAGGTGGGTACTCTCCTAGCTATCCTGTTGCTGCAGAATTGCTAAAATTACATCGAGGGTTCAAAAACTGCAGCAATGTAGAACTTCCCGATAGACCTCATACAAGAGTTAACGTGATTTTAAAAGCTGGTAATCTTCTGAAACCCGCAGCTGGGATAAAACAATCACTGGTGACCCTGCCATGAAGGTTCTTGTTCAGGCACTTCCTGTTATGTGTTGACAATGCTCTGTCCCTGTCTCCCAGTTGTACTCCTTCACTGTCACACGAGCTCCTGAAAAAAACTACAACTGGTTGTTTCAACATTACGCAGTCCTGGCCCACTATTGTCACCATGAGGAAACCTGCCTTAAATGCCATGCAGCCATCTCTGGAGGGCAAACATGTAGATCAGCAGTACCGAGTCTCAACACAGGATGAAGAAAGGTGAAAAGAAGATTACCATAGGATGATACAGGATGCTTTAGTGAACCAAATGTTGCTCAGTTAGAGTTTACATGGAATTTAACAGGTGCAGGTGAAAACAGTATAGAGCTGCAACAGTTAATCGATTTAGTCGATTAAAATCGACGATTGAAAATGCTGGCAACGTTTTCGATTGTCGATTCGTCGGCTATCGATTGATTTGCCTGTTCGGGGCTGTTCCGGGCTCCACATGCGGCCTGAGCCACACGTCACACGCTGCTCCCGCTGCGGCCGCCGTGCCCACGGCACAGGCCGCGTAAGCCACGCCCACCGCACAGGACGCTGAAGCCGCGCACGCCGCTGCTCTACTCCTCAACGCGATCTCCCTAGCTCGTCGCTGGCCCGCCTACAAACGAGGGCCCACCTTCTGAAGCCAGTGGTGGACGGAGCTGCAGTGTGGAACAGGTGTGCGGGGATATAGTGGTGGAATAGGTGTCAGTGTGGAACAGCTGTGTGGAGAGGCAGTGGTGGAATAGGTGTATGGGGGTGCAGTGTGGACCAGGTGTATGGGGGTGCAGTGTGGACCAGGTGTACCCGTGATGGACTACAATCTTAAACACAAACTAGTCGTCAATCACTGGAGCCTTTTTTTTAAATCCGATTAATCGAACGTAATAAATCGGCCAACTAATCGATTATGAAAATAATCGTTAGCTGCAGCCCTAAAACAGTAAAGTCATGTGATTAAAGTGTCATTAAACCCATTAACACTACTTCATATGGGTGATCAGACAATGCAACAAATAAAAGCAGAAAAATACAAATCTACAGCACAGACCAATAGAATTTTCCCAAATGCCCTTTTCTGCACCATATACAGCAGTCACATGACATCTAGAGTATGCTCCCCAACACACTGATATAAGGGGTAGAGGAAGCTTCAGATGTAACTGCCAATGTCACTCTAGCAATATAGTTTCCTGCTGATAGAATGGAGCATGCTGTAGGATCTGCTGCCAAATCCCACTACAGGATGCTGTATGTGTCACGTAGGGGCAGCTTCTATAGGGGAACGGAGGAAAAGAAAGGCTTCCCCTAAGGGAAATGGAGGGGCATGTGCTATGAGAGAGAGAGAGAGAGAGAGAGAGAGAGAGAGAGAGAGAGACAACAGCCAGATCACATTGCTACAGACAATAGGGAAGCCCATAGAAATGGCAGGCCCAACCAAGGATTTACCAACTATGCCAAGTTGATTGATAAAACGCTTCAGCGAAAAGGTAGAAGTAAAATCCACTCACGTTACTCCCGGGTGATGGTGATACCGTTTCTTGCCAAATCTCGTTTGCTGGGCAAAGTTGTCATATCGCTCAGATTTCTTCCAGATGTAATAAAAAGCTACACATTCAGCCACTGTGCGGGATCTCACCTGGGAAGTAAAAGAAATCATGAAACAACTTCATTCAGTCTAATGGTCTCACGGCTCTCCAAAATTCATTACTGTGCCACTGAAGGATTCAGCAATTAAGGTGAAAGCTTTGAGACTTCCCGGCTCTAGACCAAGAACACCCCAATACAATGTGAAACATAGGTACCTTATTTTTCTGTATTAGATGAAAATCCTTCCCATGTATTAGAAGTGCATGTTCAAAATTTCTACATTCCTCCTCAGTCCAAGGCTTGAACTCTTCTGTGAATAAAAAACGGACATTCAGGGAGTTAGTCCTTCCTGTGGGTAATCGAGTAGTTTGACGTATATATCAAGATACAAATAGAAGTCATCCATTAGGCAGGAACATGCCCTCAGCTTCTGGGTGACAAAGATTTGGGGAAGAGCAGGGGGAGGGGCTAAACATTCCCCATGCACTAAAGGCAACGGTCAGTTAATGGAGAACTCCGGGCATAATTATTCTTCACGCTTGCATGGGGCAAGGCCTGGTGTGAATTACTTCTTGTGCAACATCTTGCACTTGCTGCAGAAATAAAAACAAAACCTTTCACACTTCGATGTGACAAAAGCGATGCCGAGTGTCTACATTACAGTTTACAAAGACCAATGAGCTCTTACCATGTAATACTCCTCTACTGCAAAACCTTTCCATTGCCTCCGTGAAATTGTATCGACACTTGAAGAGTTCATGCAGAGCCTGAAAAACGGAAATGCCACAATGAATCCAAATTCAAGCAAATGATTGTGTTATGTTGGGATCAATTCTGTTTCGGAATATAAAAAGTGGTAGACTCCAGTGTATTTAATTGCCAGCTTTACTGCAGTCCCAGAAAAGGACGGTTTCCTGCAATAGGAGTAATTCCCCAATATTTTATATAAAACCAAACAGCAGGTTTGGCAGGTTACCAAACCGGATAAAAACAAAAAACAGTGCAGACCTCCAATTACCATTATCTATGTTCTGAATATCCCAAAGAAACAGTTCAAGTGTTCTCTGGTCAGTGTTCTTTGGTCCTTGTCTGGGGAAGGGGCTGATGTGAGCCCATAAAGAAGATGGTACCACCCACTTTATGGGCGCACAGCAGCTACTACCCTAGAAACGTCAGCATGGAAGTGCGGTTTCACATCGGAAAACAACAGGTGACCATTGACAACTGTTTGAATCTGCCTGCTATGACTGACCATCAGAACATTCACATGAAAGGTAAACTGAATAGAATTAGTTTAGCGCAGTAGCTGGCTTTATTGCCCAGAGTTACTATTTAATATTCAGAAAAACAACAATGATGCAGGAATAAGTCACCTGTTCGTGATCTTTGATTATGATCCCATCTGATAGTCTGTCCACAATCCTCTTGTTATCCATTCTCATGGTTTCCAACAGAAAAGCCTCCACTTTGCACTCCGGAACAACATCTGGACTCCAGATCAACTGATCTAGGTGTTCGTAGTCTGTAATGCATTTTATACATAAAGATTATTTAGGCTTCATCTACACCAGCCTCTGAAGAAAGTTGTACAAAATCAGTTGTTACAATCCAGACCCGTCACAATATATTCCAAAAAGTATTGTGTTTACAAAATGCTGCTTTATGTAAGAGACGTGCAGCCACTTACCAGATAAATCTGCCATGTAATGTCCCTGAAAATGTGGGATTTCTGCCTGATACTGGGACCCGACCATAATTTCCTAAAAGATACAGAAGAATAAAACATCATTTACCATTAATCAATATGGAATTTTATAAAGGACCCCTCCCCCCCTTTCCTACATTTGGTAGAGGTGACACAAATATTTCTGAATAGAAACACAATAAAATGCAGCCCAGCAGATACTCATGTCCACAAGCTCTTGGTCTGGAATCCGGGGTGATGGCAGAGCCCAAGACACTCACCTTCCTTAAATCTTCTGAAGGGTTTCCAATTTCCGGCTCCAAATCCTCGCTTTCTGACTCCTTATCGCCGTCATATGCTGTATTCGCTATACAGAGGGATAAAAACAATGAAGAATAAGACTGTCAAAGTTACTTTTAACCTCCATTATTTAGTAAACACATAAATATATAAAATAAATAATAATAAAATATTAATTTTCAGAATTTGAATTTTTGTAACACCTGTCTGTGCCCTTCAGGGCTATAAGCAACACCCTTTTACTAGTGGTGGCTGCATTAGTTTTGTTTTCAGGTTAAAAGCATTTTCAGCTAGGGCTCCAACCAACCAATCGATAAAGAGAAGAGTTGTCAACTATTCTCATTATCGATTAGTTGGTTGGATCCCCTAGCTCTTTCCTCCACACTGGGAGGGTGCAATAGCCAGCCTGCTATTGGCTATTACAATTTGAAATGGCCAATAGCCAGCTGGCTATTGCACCAGCCCACTACCTGTATTTACATTCAGCTGCCATCTGCGGAATCTTGCCACTGGCAGCCGTCATTCCCGGGCTGAAGATATTCAACCACCATTATAAAAAAAAAAGAAAAAAAAAAAAAAGTGGGAAAAAGTAATTTTTGGTTTTGGTATGACAAATTCTGCTGTGGGAGGAGCGTTGCAGTGCCATTCATTTCAATGGCCCACCAAACGCGCCTCCCACCCAGTGTGATTGTCCGCACTGGAACAGATGGTACTGCAATGTGCGTTCCATTGCAAAAAATTGTGCATGCAGTTTTATTCTGAAGTAAACTTTATGTTTGTAACACTGCATGTGTGCATTTTATTTTATATTTTAAATTAAAGGATAGTATTTTCATCTTTTTAACCGATTAATCGAAAAAATGAATTGGCCAACTAATCGATTATGAAATTATTCATTAGCTGCAGCCCTATATTCAGCAAGTACAAATACTTGTTGATCTAGGCAGAAATGCAGTGCCCTGTGTGAAATCACAAACAATGTTATCTTTCTTGCTGTGTCTGTAAACTACAAAATCCCACCACATGTGATGGAAATTTAGAGGAAGAAGTGTTTTTAGTCCAAATCAGGAGAGCAGCCTAGGGTGACAACCATAGCTCCCTCCAAAGATACAGTGGAGGAGTGAGTGTAGCTACCCAGGATTACTAGGTGACAAAATGTGAAATGCAGTTACCACATCCAACGGGTAATCTTTAGTATTGAAAATGTTCGGTTTTAGTTTTACATACCGTTTAAAAAAACTTACCATTTAGAATAGCCAGTAAAGCAAATAAAATTGTATTTCAAGGGGAGGGGAAATTTACTTATTGGTGTATCCAATAATCAGGGGGATCTAATTTTGGAGGGATGTATTTGCAAAACAAGGGTTAAGGAGCATGAAGTTGTTCTCGTGTCACTGACCCCAGAAAAGCAAGTCTGCGCATTACTTGCTATGAATGTCACCAACACTCTGGTATATATTTGTGGATTTTGTGAATCGCAGTTATGGGTCATTCTATAAGATTACTTATGGCCAACCATATATTTTATACCTCTTCTCAGATTAAGATTGCTGAATGTAGCTAAAACAAAAACATTTTTAGTTGCTTACATCTTAAAGGTCGTGGGAAAAAGTCTGTTGTTTCGTGTGACGTGACAGATGGAGTCAAATCATCAGCCGAGGACTGCGTTTCTTCATCATCACCTGACAAAAGGTCCTTTGCAATTTCCTCCTGAGAAACAAAGATTTAGTGAGGTGCATGAGCACATCAAGCAAACTTGTTGGACATCCCATTCCAAATTCAAGGGCATCATAATAAATATATAGCTGAAGCTAGGGCCTCTACAAGTACTCCCAGCCTCTAAAGAAAGGAGCCCCTCCCTGGAACCAGTCTGTGTGTCTGGCAGACTGGGGGGAGCAGTTCACCTGTGTGGCGAGAAGACAAGCCTGTGTGGCAAGAGTCTAACAATTTGTTAGAGACCACCTGAAGTCAGTAAAACTTGAAACGGTTTGTTTGATGACAGAAAACTGTACTTTATGTTTGAAACCCCCTGCGAGGGAACACCTGTGTGGACTTTTCTTTTGAGTTAATAAAAGTAGGCAAAGAACCCCTTACAAAGACATAAGCGAGTGGAAGTGTCATTAATGCGCTACCGTTTACACAAAGACCTAGTCACCCTAGACCTAATCACCCCAAAAGGGTTATTGTGCAGACCACTCATACTCCTCCTTACCAAACCATGTCTTTTTATGGACCTGGCTTTGTTCAGAGGGGCACATTTGTACTGGAAGAGAAAAACGTCTTCCCCAAACTAAACGCAACAGATTGAAGTGCACAATTGTGTAAAAGGTCTATGTATGCTGTAGCATTAACTGTACCCTTCACTGGAAGGAGCACCTGAACTTCAACAAGGTGGATGGGTGTACTCATACTTTTGCCTAAACAGTGTACTTTATGGATTTGCTCCACAGATGGGGGAAAGGTTGAAGCAGATGAAAGGTCAGTCTACCCAAAACTTTTTTCTGAATGGGATCTTAAAACTCTTTAGGGACACCAGAAGCAAGTCTACCTATACAAGATATCAGCCCCGGGTCTAATGGGAGGAAGAAAAATCTCTCACACAAATGCCATCCTATGGGAGTGAATCCAGAAAGCCCAATCTCAGCACTGAAGTCTACAAGAAATAACACAACTCTGTATGATTTTACCCACTGATATCCAATGAATACAAACATGGGCTTTAAGATGATTGGACCTGTAAAAGAACTAGGACCCCCTAGAAATGTTTTGCTCTCCAGTGCCTAGTAATTTGGTTGCAAAAAGATTTGACCAAGAGGCCTGAAGCAGGTACAGTTTGTTGCTACTTACCTTATCTAGCGTCATGTCTGGGAGCTCATCAGCCAACTCGCTGGGAGAACTACCCACGCTGGATCCTGCCATAACTGGATCTGCAGGCTCATAGACATAAATGGCTAATAAATCTTCCAAAGGCATGTTTCCTTCCTGCAAAAACACAGATTGAATATTAAAGTTCACTAAAGTGAACACATTTAATACAAAAATTCTTTTTTTTAAAGATTCTGTAAGACTGACCCCACAGCAGAAAAATTAATAAAAAAGTGAATGATCAACAAAAAGGACAGTTTTAATTGAGTGCCAAGTCTGCCATCTACCATGTGTCTAGATTAGAACAGCAATTATGAATAAAACCGTACTGCAGAACTTTGTATCTTTCCTTTTGGAAGGGCGGTGACCATCCGTACTCCTGTGGTCAGCTAATGATTGTAAGAGCACTCACATAATACAACTTTCATAATGCCATGACACAAAAACAATGCATCACTAAAGAGACATCACACTTTTGAAAAGATTATTATTAGAGGGTGCTTCAGCATGTGCTAGCAAATGTAACTTCAGAAAGTCCATTCCCTAGCATAGTCCTCTCCTCTTCAGGGAGGGTCAATTTCTCTCTGTGCCGACCCATCTCCTCCATCCCTACCCACATCAACTTATGTATCTGCCAAGGGAAGAGTAAAGGGAAAAACTATAGTGTCACTTGAGGGACAGCTCTGAGCCTGCTGATATCAAATCCCAGATGGGGGTCACCCAGCAACAGCCTTGTGGCTTTTGGATGCTTATACACTAAAGGCCATTACAGGGAAGTAACATGCATGAAATACATTAAACACACACATAATGAGAAGATTGTTGCTGGAATGAATGGTCTCTCAACCCTTTATATACGTTTTCATGCAAAAATGAAAAATCTCAAACAGTTTTTGGGTTAATATAAACGGACAGCCATGGTTTAGTGATTGAAGCTCATTTATACTCTATTTGTAGAGCTTCGTCTAGGCAAAGGCATACGCCCAGTGCCATCAGCCATCAGCAAAGCAGATGATTCACTGGCTGAGAACACATATCACTGTAGTCCATCGAGAAAACCGAGTTGCATAGACGACAGCCAATAGTGTAAAGGTTCATTCTGGGTCAACTTTTCTTCCATCAGAAAGCAACATTTGTGTGCTGCTTCCGCCACCAAGTTTCTTAGAGTTTAGGTTATAAATAATGTGGGGAAGGGTTAGAACACGTCAGGCTTTTACTGCAGTCTAGTTCTCTACTAGGGCTGCAACTAACGATTTTCATAATCAATTAGTTGGCCGATTATTTTTTGATTAAATTGGATTTTTAAAAAAAAAAAAAAAATTTTTCCAATTACATTTTTAATTTAAAGGAGAACTATGAGGTGAGTGCTTTTCACTCATCCTCATAGGTTCTAGCCACCCTGTGACAATGAGACTGTCACAGGTCGGCTCAGTAGATCGGGAGGTGAGCGAACACGTACCGGCGCTCGCTCACTTCTCGATCCTGTCACGGCTCTCTGCCGTGACAGGGGAGGGACTGGATTCCCCCCAGCTCCGATCCGCTAGTGCTGACTGTCGGAACGGACGGGGCGGGTACAGCTGGCTCTGCCTCTAGATAGGCAGAGCCAGCTGTCACTCACGCAGCTGGGCGGATCCAGACATAATTGTCGGGATCCGCTTCAGCTGCGGCGTCTCAGTACACCGCGTTCAGCTCTCGCCCAGCTGAGCACAGGAGAGGATATTGCTAGGACATGCTGCACGCAAAGTTCCATTCACTGCCGCCTTCCTTTGCTGCGCACGGCTCCATGTGCAGTGTGTCACGGGCGTCACAGACCTTAGGTGTGTTCTGGCACGGTTAGTGGCCGGAATGCCCTGGATCTCCTGGTGGAAGCCTCCTTGTGTTCTGGGGCGGGAGGGTGCGTGCAGGTGCCATTCAAGTCAATGGCACCACAGAGACACACCTGCAGTGACTGCCCGCACCAGAACGTATGGCACAGCAATGCCCGCATTCCTGTCCGGAGCGATTGCAAAAAAATAGTGAATGGCCCCGCCACGCTCCCTCCCACCCCAGAATGCAGGGAGGCATGTAGCTGGCTTCCCAGGCCAATCAGGAAGCCGGGCGCCATGTAATGACTAGCCACCTGTCTCCTTGATTGGTCGGGAAGTTGGCCAATCAGAAAGACAGGCGGAGAGTCATTACCTGACCCCCTGCTTCCTGATTGGCCAGAAAGCCGGCTCCATGCTTCCTAGTCACCTGGCCCGGGCTAAGTGGGAAGCGAGTCATTACATGCCACCCGGCTTCCTTAATAAAAAAGATGAGTACTCATAACCGAAAAAATGGTATCAGTGCATCCCTAGTACACACTACTTACATTGTTGTACATCTTCATTTAGCCCGTCCACAGTCCACTATGAACAGCTCGGGGGGGAGGAGGCCGAGACATGCGGGAGGCCACGGTCACCGGGACGGCCCTATTCATCCCCTCAGTCCACTATGAAAATCCAGGGGAGGAGGAGGCCATGGGTCCTAATAGTCAGTCAGTGTTCACAAGCATGCGAGTGAGGCGGGGAGGGTGCAAGTAGCCCAACTAAATCGATAATGAAAATCGTTGATAACGATTTTCATTATTGATTATCGACTTTATCGATTAGTTGTTTCAGCCCTATTCTCTATTCATCATATTTCCCATATGTGATACAATTATATACGGTTTGGAAAAGATCACTGTCCCTGGATTCTGGATAGATGCATCAAGGCACACTGATCTGGCACAGTGATCTATTCCAAACCATACGTAATGGTATCACATACGATTACATGCGGACTGCCGCTTACAGATGCAGCTGCTGTCACCTGGTCATTAACTTGAACAGGTACAGCGACCGCAGCTAAATGGAACATCGTGTGAATGAAGCCCAATAGTCCTGCATTGCACATGGTGATGCCGAGGGACCAGCCACAGCCTTGATCGTCGAGGAGGAGGGCGCAGGAGCAAGGAATACAGCAAGTACTTTTTCCTCTACCCCTTGGACTCGAGTGTTTAACTCCTGCAGTGCTGCTAACCTAAAGAATTTCTATTAAGGTCTATGCTCCAGTTGACAAGACAGTACTTCCTATCCTGGAGGCACACAGGAAATTAAGACAAATCATCTCAGTGGAGCAATGAAAAAAATAGAAAAAAAAATTAAAAAACCCCCATCGTTGAAAAATTTGGCTTTATAATTGGTAGTCAACGTAGAGTTATAAGCCTAATCCACGTAAAAATAAAAATAAAGCAAATAGAAACCTTTTCTAAATCTTCAATTTCAGAGGTAAAGTTTTTTCCGTCTTCCTTCATTTCTTCTTCTTCAAGAGTTCTCTCATCATCATAATCATGTACCAACATTTCAGCTGTAGGGTCAAAGTCATGATCCTCTGATGACAGAGAGCCAACTACAAAAGACAGGAAAGAAACACACCGCTTAATGTCAGAAAATGCTGAATGGGATTAGTTAGAAGGATTCATGCAAATATACAGCAAGGTTTTTTTCCTAAAATGTGGTAAATGTCTTATTATTGGCTAGCAGGGATTACAAGTCCAGGTAACGAAACTGATGTAACTAGACAACCTTCAATGACAATTTCCAAATAGCAATACAAGATGAAATCATTTTCAGCATTGTACCATCATGTAAGATAATAGCTTATTATTGTATTTAAATCATCAGCTACCCAAAATTCTGCAAGCTGTAGCTTGGCCTGCAGATTCATATTTCGGCACAGCCGGGAACTGGTCATAAAAAGACATGCCATCACCTTTACCGTCTATTAGGGCAGCAGAGCTGCAAAACGTGACAATAGGAGGAAATACTTTGTTTTTTTGTCAAAAAATAAATTCACTCATAAGAAGAAGTGTCAAATGCTGGCATTTTCTGGAAGCGGTGATAAGAAATAAATGAACCAATATAGAATATAGTGTAATATTAAACCTGTCCCAAAGGTCTGAGGAGCAGAACTTGAGATTATGGGCATACACACACAGATGTAGTTGAAGAGTCTTCTAACCAATCCCCGAGAATTCCCAGGAATGGCGCTCTGTATTTGTTGACTCCAGGCTCCCCTCAGGCACATAAATCATAAAACACAGCAATGACAAGCACTGTCCGTGGTATATGCACTACATCCAGGCATTACAGTGACGGTTTGCTTTGAGTGGAGAAATCCTTTCAATATTTGCTTTTTCCAAAACCTTGTAATAAAATAAATTAAAATAATTTGTGGGTATTGTATTATATACCAATTCCAAACAGACCATCAAAGACGAAAACCATGGAGTGCACATATAGAACAATTATGTTCAATACAATTTTGGTTTAACGGTCACCTATTCAACAGGAGCTCGATAATATTGTTGTCTTTACTAAAGCCACAGAAACGGGCCCCGCTTATATTTTAAAGGATAAATGCACTTTAACCTATTGCCGTCCGCCTGTTGTGAAAAAACGGCCGAGCGGCAAAGTCCCATGTGCGTGTTGCCATAATTAGACGGCTTTTTTTTTTCTGCTGGCGCGCGCACGGGCAGAAAAAACCCGCCCGTTCTTTACAGCCGTTACCTGCCGTTTGACATACAACCAATCGGTGGCTCTATAGCCACCGATCGCTTGTTTGTTGTGTTTTGCTGGCCCCCCCTACGCCCCCTTGAGTGCCGCCGCCTGGAGTGCCACCCCCTCCCGACCCCTCACCTTCCTCCTTGCTGATCTCCCTCCGTAGTGTGAATGCGGAAGTGATGTGTAACACATCACTTCCGCATTCACCTGTCAGTCATCTGGCTGCTATAGCCAGAGAGGAGAAGAAGCTGATGAAGTAGATCTCTGCTTCATCAGCTTCTTTGGGGGTCCCCGGTGACATAAGGGGTCTTAGAGATAGCAATAAGTGTAAATCAAAATTTAAAAAAATAAGTTACATATAAAAAGTTTTAAAAAAACCTCAAAATGTTTAAGTCCCCCATGTTTACGCACATATAAACGTAAATACACATTCGATGCACCGTGAACGTCGGAGTGAGAGCAATCATTTTAGTTCCATCACTGATAACACTAAAAACTGATGAGCGGAAAATTCTTTTAAATCGTCGCCTATGGCCAATTTTGGGTATTTTTGAGATTTCGCACGCACATGCAATTTTAAGGCTTGACATGTTTGGTGTCTTTTTACCCGACGTGACCCCGTCTTTTATATTTTACCAAAAAATTGGGTAATATTAAAAAGGTTTTATAATTTAAAATAGGGGACACAGTTTTTTTTTTTTAAATTTCAGTAATTTCTCCTTAATATTGTAAAAAATAAAAGCCCCAGTGGTGATTAAATACCACCAAAAGAAAGCTCAGTCTGTCCCTAAAAAAATGGTATAAAATTAATTTCAGTACAGCGTTGCATGACGGAATAAATGTCAAAGTACCGCAGCACTGAATACTGAAAAATGGCCTGGACAGGAAGGGGCTATAACACCGCGGACTTCAAGTGGTTAAGACAAGATCCTGTGTGCCCCTTTGCACTGATTTAAAGTAACCCACCCTCCCCCTCCGCAGATGCACACTTACCTAGATCAACGGCCATGATCTTCCTTGTTTGTTTGATTACATGCGGTGCTGCAAATCTCTCCCCTGGCTGGGCCTGCACAATACAGTTCATCTCAGGCCTTGGGAAACAGCCCCATAGAAGTCTATGGGGCCATAATGCACAGGCGTGACCAGGACAGCAACACCGCATGTAAACAAACACTGCAGGGCACGGCCATCTGATCCAGACGATTGCACTTATCCTTTAACTTAACAATGCCCTGTGAACCCTATGAAAAGTGACCGAGCCATGGAGGGGCTTAGAAAGCTCCCATTAGCAGAGTCATTTGATTCATTAGACACCACGATTACAAAGGTTTGGCTTTTCCACTATGTGAACAAGAGTCTGCATATAAAGAGATCATTCTTACATTTAAACAAGCACAAAAGATTTACTTTAAAAAAAAACACAAAAATAAAACTGACATTTTCATTTTCTTATAAGCATACAAAAAAGGTAAAATTAGAGTACGGTGCTTAATCAGAGCTGTACATGTCCAAGCCTAAAATCATATTCGATAGTCATACTGGAGGCAGCGGCTTTCTAAATACATTCCAACCTCAGCGGCCACAACAAGTCCGCTTTAAAGTGAACCTGACAGCCACTTTCAAATACTTTGAAAAGCAAAAAAGTATCTTCCAGGTTTCTTCTTATACTCTTGGTTACCAATGGCGTGACTTTTTAAACTTCTGAGCTAAGCCGCACCTCTGATTCCTGGTCTATTGCAGACACCTCCACCAATAACCACTCAGTGGCAGGGTACTGCAAGTGGGTGTGCTCAGCCCAGAAGTCAGGAAAGTTAAACCCTTAGTAAAATGAAATTAAGGTTAGAGTGTTGAGATGTTGCTGGCTAAAGAAGTTACACAATATCATGGCACAACTTTAAAAGCGACACTGAACTCAGGAGTTAAATCTTAAAAATACATTCAAGTACCTTCACTATTAGCAAAAATGTATCTTATTTGTGTCACTCGGCTGTAGATCCTCAAAGCATCTCTGAATTGGTGCCGACATTGTCCTTCCTTCTGGAGGGGGGATACTTTTGTGCCCCATGGTCCCTGTGTGTGTTGTAATGTAGCCATCGCTCCAAACTAAACATGAGATTGTAGTCCATCACGGGAGTGAGCTTGGAGCGGTGACTACTTTACAACACACAGGGACCATGTGGAACAAATGTAGCCACCCTCCAGAAGGACAGTGTCAGAACCAATTCAGAGATGATTTGAGGATCTACAAATACACAAGATACATTTTTGTTTTTGTTAAGGTACTTGAATGTATTTTTAAGATTCATCTTACAGCTTCTATTGAGGGCACTAAAAATAGACTTTGATGGTCACAGATAGGGTTGCACAGATACCAAGTACAGTACTCGGTACGAGTACCGATACTTTTGAGCTCCAAGACTAGACTAGAGAAAAATTCAAAAAGTATGAGGCAGCTGTCATGTGCAAGGAGCACACGGAGCTCCTGGGATTTGTGCATCTCTGTTTTAATGTAGGATTGTTTTTATAAATAGAAATAAAATTGATGCACAGAAACCAGTTTTGCGAGTACGAGTACTGGTACTTGCCGAGTACTTACAAGTACGAGTACTGATACATTTTTGTTTGTCATGTGACAGTTTTTCTAAAACAATACAGACTAATGATTTCAGGACAGTGGTGGAGCGCCAGAGCTAGATCCCAGCTGCAACCGCTGCAACCCTGGTAGTTCTCATGAAAATGCCAAGTATCTGCACTGGTATCGGAAAAGTATCTGTGCATCCCTAGTCACAGCAGTTTGGAATAACTGAGCTCTGGTGGAGATCTCTCACCATTGGAGTCTATTATGAAACATTAAAAGTCAGTATATGATTTAACATGTTAGCTACCACACAACTTAAATAGTTGTCAGCTTTTAACGCTCAGTGATGGACGTGTAAGGACGTGTTCTTGGCTCACTCCTCTGAATGGTCTCCGATCAGAACACATAAATCAGATCTATTCCCAATATTTCCTCGTGAATTCTATGTTCTGCCTGAAGTAGAATGAAGTGATATTGATGTACAGATCAATACACCAGATTCCCTCCATCCATGAATTGCAGTGTCACATGGTCTTTAAGGCTCAGAAACTGCTAAAACTTTTATCCTTACAAGATAGCATACGATTAAGTGACTTTTTACCCATTGGTCCAAAATATTTAAAAATCACCTGGGAAGAGAGTCAATTGAAGCTTGGATTGGTGTCAGCCCCGATGCAAATAACCAAAATAGAAATTCCAATATTATACTAAATCGTGACAGTTACCACTTAAAGCACCAGTCACACTTAAGCACTTGTTCAAAAGAAAATAAATATTGTTCAACAATTTACCTTCACTTTCTCTTTGTCATTCTGATTGAATTATTCATTTTGAAATGCTTCAGCAGTTATCTATTTCAGAGAAAAATTGAAATAAAACAGTATTTTCGAGACTCACATAAAGCTCCTAAGTTCTGATGTGACTAACTTCAACTTTGCTGTCTCATTAACAAATACAATTGTTTTCCATGCACATATTTCCTAACTGCAACTCCTCTACAACAGGCACAGCTTGGTCATGTTTCCCATATCTTGGTCTAAGACTGACCTTCCCCACCTATATGAGTAATAATCTATTGGAACAATATACTGTTATTAACACATTTTAGAGCAAATAAAACTGATGCCATTGCTCAGAGCAAAAAGATTTTCTGGGGAAGAGGTGATAAGAGGTGGGGCAGATGAAGGAAGGACCTCTGATTGCTGAGCGTATCACATCCGCTTCCAAACAGAGACCATTGCGAATAAAACAATTAAATCTTACAAAATACATTCAGGTCACTTAACTATTCACAAAAATAATTTTATTTTTGTATCCCATGGCTGTAGATCCTCCAATCATCTCTGAATTGGTGCTGACACTGTCCTTCCTTCTGGAGACGGGCTACTTTTGTTCCCCATGGTCCCTGTGTGTGTTGTAAAGTAGTTACCACTCCAATGATACAATCTTACTTTAATTTACTAGTTTGTATAGAGATTGTAGTCCATCACAGGAGCGAGCTTGGAGTGGTGACTACTTTATACAACACACACAGGGACCATGGGGAACACAAGTAGCCCCCCTCCAGAAGGCAGGACAGTGTCAGCACCAATCTAGAGATGATTGGAGCATCTACAGCCGAGTGATACACAAATAAGATACATTTTTGTTAATAGTTCAGGTAATTGAATGCATTTTTAAGATTTTAATCCTGCGTTTAAGGTCACTGTAAATTTCCCAAGTGAAAAGATGACGTGGAGCTCCAATTTTGTTAAAGGGAAATAAACATTTTTTCCCCTCTCTTTCATTCATAGGAGCAACTGCTTTGTTGTACCCATTAGCTGAGCTGGTATTTTAGATTATCTGTATGAAGTACCTGTACCATTTCCTGTTCTGGTGATAACTCAAAATTTGTGATTTACTTTTCAGTGAGAACACTCACCAGGAAAAACCTGGAGGGTCAATCTCCCTTAAGTTGGCCATACACTTTACAACCATCGCATGACTTTCGTGGTGCGATGGTTGAAAGGTAATTAAAATCTTGTACGATATCCCCATCTTGGACAGGCAGATCGTACTTGCGATCATCGCAAGCCCGCCCCGCTGAGGGGGAGGGCTTCCGATGATTCAAATGCTGAGCGGGCATTTGTCTTCCGAGCACGCCACTAACCCGCTGAAAATCTTACGCTTTTCAGCAGGTTTTCAAGCGTGCTCGGAAGACAAAAGACGTGCGACCGTACAATAGAAAGTAGTCGCACACCTTCCATACACCTGCCGATTATCGTACGATCGCGGGATCACCCGCGATTATTGTACGATAATCGGCAGGTGTATGGGCACCTTAACAGGGACACAGACAGCAATAAAAACATTACAGAGGTTCCAATTCCTCTCCACTCCATCCAACGGCTAGTAGAAAACTTAAAAGGAGGATGTATATTGTTAAGTATACCAAGTTATAATTTGGTTTATTTTAATACAAATAATTTATTAGCATTTGTATTTTTTATACTCGGCAAAAAAATAAATTTTTAAATGTTGGTAGTTTTTGGGGGGTATTGTATACCTAATATCCGTTAATATTTCTGTAGTCCCAGAAAATTATAGATACCTGTACACTGACTGACAACAGTAATTTTTAAGTTAAATTACAAAACTTGGATGGTGTTTAAAAAGTTTAAGTAAACATGTACTGAGAAAAATATACAGGCAGCCAATTCTGGCCACTCCTGAAAGTGCTGGTTGCATGGATGTCTAAGGTGGCCATACACTTTACAACCATCGCAAGACCTTAGTCCGGCCCGTTCGGCATTTGTCTCCCGAGCACCGTTCAAACCAGCCGAAAATCGTATGATTTTCAGCTGGTTTTCTAGCGTGCTCCTTAGACAAAAGACGTGCGAACGTACAGTAGAAACGGTCGCATGTCTTCGTTCACACTGCTCGATTCTCGTACGATCACGGGATTCCCGCGATTCTCGTACGAGAATCGAGCAGTGTATGGGCGCCTTTACCCAGAACAAGTATAAGGTTCCATCTTTCATTTGACATCATTGGCTGCAAAATTGTTCCAGTGACTCAGAAAATTCAGTAAACAGCTACCATTTTCAGAAAGTCAGCAATGGTGGCCTCCCATCATCCCTACTGCACAAAGTATTTTATGTTCATGTGTTCTCTGCAGAAGCTATGATGTTCTCTTTTCATTTAGAAACTAAGCAACATAAATAATTAGACCGAGGGTACCCAAAATTGTTCCACACAACTGTTGCAACAATTTTTTTTTTCCTTTATTTTACCTCCAGACTGAATAGAATCCACCTAAACTATTCCTTAAATGCAGCATACAATATGAATTAGAACAACATTTTCATTGTTAGATATTTGTATTTAACTTTAAGTATTGTTATAGCATTTTTTTTACTCATTTAAAAACAACAATATTGAATAAATATTAAATTTGTTTTAGCAAGTTTTTTTTGCAGTTTCACTTGTACTATTTTGCCAAGTGGGACTGGTGCTATTAGTTCCAAAGCAATTATTTTTAACAGAAATTAAAAAAAAATGGAAAAATAGAACTCCTGAAGTGAACTCGTTTAGTTAAAATAGAAGGTAAAAGAAGAATGGTGCTGTACGTCGTTCTTTTTTTTTTGTCTATTTTGGAAGTATCCTAGCACTATATTTAGTTATTACTTGTAAGGACCCAGATCTGTACATTTCACTCGCCTTTTCATTTTCTCCAAAATGTTTTTTCACTTTTGCAGCCAAATTTTTACAAAATTGTAAGATACAAATTGTTGGGCCTGCCCATGTTATCCCTTCCACAACCAGCATTTCTCAAATAGAAGCAAGCCGTAACAAGAGCATGATCATAGCACAAGGGGTGGGACCCTCAAAAGCATGTTATAATGATTACAAAATGCTATTTTCTTTCTTGTCCACTGAGGGAGACAGAAGGCTATATACTGTCAGAACGTTCAAAAGCGGTCCCACTAAGTAGAGGACAATCTACCACTAAAAGGATCAACGTTAAAAGAAAAGGAGGACCATCTGCAGCTCAAGAGCTGCAAGAAGGACCGAAGCAGACACTGGATGAGACCAACCCCACCACCTGGTGAGGGGAAGATGGTAACTAGTTTATTAGTTTATGAGGGAATGTTGAACTACGCTGGATATACAGAAAGAATCGCTACCTAACCAGTTAGCAACTTCTTGACAGGAGAGACACCAACCATGTGAAGCTGGTCAACCTGATGAAAGCCAAAAAGGTTGGAATGTGCAACATTAACAAGGAGAGAAATCTCTTATAATATCTAGAAAAGGACAGGACAGAGGAACCTAAGAACGGTGTCCCCAAAAGCAAGACCGGAGCTAGTCTAAATAAAAAAAAAAAAAGTCTCATGTCTAAAATGACTGTCAGACAGAAATTCATCTCATTAAATGAGCCATCAGTGAAGGTCCCCCCAAGCATGGTGTAAGTCCATAACACCTCCAAGAAGAGTAGCTGTGGCTCCCATGATCACCAAGAGAACCTAGATTTAATCCCTTGAAGTCAGCTGACCAATCGGATGATGTACATAGGAAACCCAATGCAAAAGAAAGCAAATAAAAGGAAGATATAATTCCTCACCATAGGAAGGGAGACTGAAACCCGATAGCGTTGATGAACAGCTCAAGATACCCATCACCAAGGATTCACCCCTAGACGAAGCTCTAAGGAGAATACTTTCTGAAAACCCTGCCAATCCTGGAAACTAGAAGAGTCACAAGCCTAGAGCTTCTCCTGACTCCCCAGATCCCACAATCCATCATGACCTGTGGAACAATAGTCAAGAGATCTATCAGAATGTTGAAGACCAATCGCTTTTAGTAGAAACAGAGCAATGAAATTCAAAGAGTTCCTCCTTTTTGAGTCTGCAAAGTAAACAAGAAGGAAGGACCGAGACGCAGGTGTACAGAACTTACAAAGTTAATGGACAATACACTGCTAGTGCAAGAGGAAAACTGGATCAGAAAATAGACATAGCCAAGGAATGCTCCCGTGATGTAGTAGGAACCACCTCTTCTGGGACTCCAGAATTTAGGACAGAAGATTATGTCCTTCTTGAAAGTGGGAATGTAAACATCTTCACTAGACCCCAGAAGACTGAACCGCCAAGTTGAGAAATATTTTTTTCATGGGTAGACCATTTTGTCTGCTACACTTAACCCACCGCTAGGACACTAGCATAAAACTGAGGCAAGTCAATTTGTAGTAGGGGTCATCATGGGCTAGTCAACAATGTTTTAGTTTGCCAGTGTTAATTCTTCCTGTAGGCAGCAGTAAAACCAACAATATATGACTTCTTGTGTCACTCAGCAAATGAGAAAGAAATTATTACATATTCTGGCATATAACCATTAAAATTCAACGGGGGGGGGGTTAGGTCCTATACATTTTAGTCCTAAATGACAGTAAAACTTCTCTCCCTGACCACTGCCTGTTACCATAACAACACAGCAAAGACATACTGTAGAACCTTCTTTATAGTATATATTTTTAAACCAACACTACAGGTGCTCTGCAGACCACTTAGTAGCTTATCCACAATGCATATTATGGGAGGTTATCAATATTAATTTAGGGCTTAGAATATTCTGAGAATGGCTGCCAAGTCTCAATTCTGCTGTCAACATTTAGGTTTTAATGTAACATAAGAAAAGCTAAGGGAACTAAGACAAGCTGGAAAAATAACTGCAGCACTTTAGATACATAAAACACAGTTCTGAACAGAAAAAGGGAAAAGAAAAAAAAAAAAAAAAAAAAGGGATGGAGAATCCAGTAAAAAGTAAACTGTAAGAAAATATCCCTATATATGTTATTAGGGATCAAATAGATAAGAATAATATGGAACACTCAAGGTGTGGGAATTCGGGGTGTGTCTAATGTTCCCACACAACTGTACAAAGGACTAAAAACTATATACAAAAACTAAAAACACAGAAACATGCGACCATTTTTGTCCAGGCTTCAACTGTTCCTTTTTATAAAACTTTTCATATTTATACATTCATTTTTATTATGGATTATAAAAAAAAAAAAGTTATACACTTATTTAGACTTGGGCTGATACACTGAGAGACATTCAACAAAGTTTTACTTCTTACCTTTTCTAAATAAACTCAGGTTTATGGTCAATGATTATCAAGCAGAAGATTCCTAAATTGTATCAAGCAGGGCTGTTCAACTCCAGTCAAGGGCCATAAAAAGGCCAGAATTGTTGGGCAGAAAATAATCTTTTAAATAAGTTTTGCTTATATATCATTGGCACTTAAAGAGAATTTCCAAGAAAAAACAAAAGTTCCCCAACAGCTGGGGCTCGCCCATATAGAAACTCTAAGTAGTATCCCCCCCTTCTACTTAGTTTTGTTTTCAGGGACAAGCAAGTGGACATGTTGAGGCTGCAAGCATCTTTCCGCTGATCTCTGAATGCAGAAGTGATGTTTATTACATCACTTCCACCTCAGCTGTCATTGCTCCGGCTTCTGTAGATGATCTCTGCTTCATCGGCTTCCTTGGGGGGGTCCCAAGGTGACATTAGGGGTTTTGCAGACCCCTGATGTCGCCATTGAGAGGACCTGTCACTCTATATTTGCGATCACATAGGGGGCTTCTTAGTATAGTAAAAAAGAAAAGTGACCCCATCTTTTATATTTTACTAAAGCAATGGGTAATAACAAATGTTTCATAACAAAGTGGGGAAAACAGATTTTTTTTTTTTTTTAAATGTGAGGTACTTTTTTTCTTTGTAAAGTAAAAAATAAAGACCCCAGTGGTGAATATAAATACCACCAAAAGAAAGCTCTATATGTCCCCAAAAAATGGTATAAAATTCATTTCAGTACAGCGCTGTAAGATGGAATAAATGTCAGTCAAAGTACCGCAGCGCTGAATACTGAAAAATGGCCTGGCCAGGAAGAGGGTTCAACAACGCGGACTTCAAGTGGTTGAAGAACAACCTGTACTGAGGGGAAACACATGGGCTAGCATTGCTTACCTCTTACATTGACGCCCATGTTGACCTAAGGAATTAATTTTTTGAGGGGGCTTTAGTTTGCCAAATGTGTTAAACAAGATGTTGAGCATCCTACTGATATGTGCTAGGAAGCTGTGCGAGGTGGGTCAACCTTACTGTTCACACCCAACATTATGTATTCCCAAAAGAGAATGGCATTTGCATTTTTCTAGGACTTCCTCTTTAGTGATACATTTCCTTAAACTGAGCATTGTAGCCTTCAAGGATGGAGTTGGAAAGCACTGAATGTCCTTAACCAAATTTTATAGTAAATTTTTGTGGGTTACCTGGGCATTTTTTTCAACTGAACAGAGCAGAATACTGATGACTACAGGTGAAACTGCATGGGACTAAAAGCAGTCCTTGCAGTAAAAAGCAAGGTCTGCTCAATTTTCTGGGGCCTCTCCCCATTTATAAATCAACTACTGTTAGTAGGTGTAAAATGTACCTGTAAGAAAACAAAAAAAACAAAAAAAGTTAGAATTATACTTGCCTACTTTGCTTACATCTTCTGCATTGCTGGGCGTGAAGTCACCATCCTTCCGTAACGATTCCTGGAAAATGCAGAGCAGGCGATATCTCGAGAGAAGACACTCCGGTCCATTGCAAGAGTACCTTCTTGTGAGATTTTGGCTACTCTGTAATGCCCATGACCTATGCGGAAGGAGTGTGACATCATCCTTGGCTAAGTGCCAAAGGCGGAAAATGGGTATAAATCTGAGGTTTTTCTTTATAGGTACATTCCACTGTTACTGATAGTAGGCGATTTGTCAATGTGAGGGGACCTGGACAGTCCAAGTAGATCCTGCATTTTACTGCAAGGTCTGCTTCAACTATTCAATGCAGGTTAGCCTATAGACCTCAACCATCCCACACTATTTTAGAAAGAAACATTTTATGGTGTGCTACTTTAGAAAACAGCCCATTTACAACAAATGATGAAAGATTTCCCACAATCCAAGAGTCTACTTGGTTCCTGGAATAATAAACATCTAAATTGTTATGCTCTGTAGCATATATTCGCATTTAGTTTAATACAAATTTAAAATATAATTAATGTGCTGTAATTCATCTCAACTAAGTTACACTTTAGTTTATTAGGAGATTATGCAATTTGATGTGGCCAGTATTTAATATATGCAAAAGAAGAAGAAAAAAAAAGAGAAAAGCTTAGCACATCACAATCCAGTGTTCCATTATATGTGTAGTTGGGAACTTCTCTTTAGCAATCTATGCTACATAATCACAAACCCACATGACATAGACATACTTTGAAAATACTGTTTAAAATATCACTCACTGGTACAATAAGGCTCACGTTACAGGATCATTTCCAATTAAAACAAGCTGATGACGTTATCAGAAAAACTTCTATTTCCTCATCCCCATCAATAAGTGAAAAACAAAGTCGGCTGACAGCAGAGGGCTCTATTGTGTTCTCTTCCCTGGCTCAGGCTAACCTCTCAGCAAGCCAGGATGCTGTGATGCTTAAATGTAAGAAACAGGACAAACCTGGACTCGAACTGTCAAACGAAGTCTGTGGAAAGAAGACAAAAGACACAAAAGCAATGAGATTGGCAAGATCCATCCAATCACAGGAAGAAAGAATATTGTCAGAATAGGAATTACATACCAACAACTTTTTCCTCAATTTGACATAATATATATAATTTAACAGTTGTGTGGAGACACCTTGCAGAGGACATTCAAGCCCCTACATTACCAACATTCTAAGACACAACCCACTGCAAAAGGGAAAACAGAGACACATATATCAAGACCCTTAGAAGTGATGTAGTCAGGCCTTTGGGGGACTTGGCACAAAGAGTTATTGGTGAGGCTTTAGTTATAGTTATCTGTGTGTGGGCCCCTTCAATTGACAGAGTGAAGGTACCAATTACACACACACACCTTATTTTTCACCGTTTATTCTACTTTTTCATACTTACAATATTTGACATTAAGGGGTCTAATCAAAGAATGTGACTTCCATCAAACATTGTCTGGTGGTGAATCAATCACCATTGTTTTAAATTCATGCATCTGAAAGATTCACCTCCGTTTTGACACACCAGCATCAGAACGGACTGCAATGGTGTGAATGAGGCACAAGAAAGCCCATAGGAAAGCATTGGGATGTATTTTTACTGCAGCAGTTAAAATAAACAGACTGCATTTTCCATTAGTATATATTTCATTTTGAGACACTGCAAACACCAATGTACAGAGAACTGTAGGCAAAGTTACTTTTAGCAGGCGTACCCCCAATATATGTCAAATATTTTAAGGGTTCCTCTAGAGTAAACAGGTTGGCAATGGCTGGAACACAGTATATATGTAGTCCTAATGTATCATGGTAAAGGAGGATGGGGATACCAGGTTGTCAAATACAGTGTACATGTATATAAATACAGTATAGGGTATGATATGGTGTCAGTGTATCATCGTGATGGAGATATCACTTCATCATATATAGTGCAGATCTATGTAAAAACAGTATAGGGTATAATATGGGGTCAGTGTATGACGGTAGAGGAGGAAGTCGGGTTGTCATACACAGTGTAGGGTATAATAAGGGGTCGGACTATGACAGTAGAGGAGGAAGTCGGGTTTTCATATACCATGTAGGGTATAATGAGGGGTCAGGTTGTCATATACCGTGTAGGGTATAATGAGGGGTCAGGTTGTCATATACCGTGTAGGGTATAATGAGGGTTCAGCATGTCATACATGGATGAAAACACACAGTGTACACACGCTATAGAACTCTATGAACAGTATTGATGATGTCTGGAGCACACAGGGACTGATCTGTGAAAAGCGGACCTGTTGCCTCCAATAAAGTGTCAGATCCCAGAGTAAAGTGAAGAGTTTGGTTGGCAGGGGTAACAGGTCCCCCCTTACTCGGACACCGTACACAGCACTCCTGTCTGGAGAGGACTCGGTCAGCTTATGTGGTCAGGTGGGATGTTCCACAGACTCATTCTCTCAGTACACGGTGTACGGACAGGGCTGGAGGAGGCGGAACACGGCCGGGGCTGACTGTCCATCACACAAAACACTCCGGGTACCGGCGAGGATGACGCAACAGGCGATAGTTAAATAATCATCTTTCGCAATTAGCGGGCAGGCCCCGGCCGGCCGCCGCCTCTTGGTCCTCCGGTCCCTCCCCCACCCCCTGACCGTTCGCTCGCAGCCGCGGCCTAGCTGACATTTACCCGCTCCTGGGCGGCCCTTGTCGCCCCAGACTCCCCCTGGAGCCGGATGGGGCTCTAAGGGAGAAGCTGTGAGGGGACTGGGCCGGTTTAGGTGGCGGCCGAGCCCGGAATTTCTGTCTATTCCTTCCCTCCCCCTTCTCCGGCCCGATTTTCCTCCTTACCTCCGCCATATTGGTACCTCTAGGCGAACGAGCTGCAACTGCGCAAAGTACCCGGATGGAGAGAATCAGCCAATCACAGAGCGCCGAGCCAGAGGTGTCCAGCGGCCTGGAGATGGGGGAGGGGCGTAGGGCTGAGGACCAGGAGGGGGAGGAGTCACATGGGCACCTATAGCGCTGCACTCTTATGGTTCTAGAACATGGATGTACGATATCATATAATGTGTGGACGATATACATCGGCCAGCTCTGATACTCTGGATAGTGTTATAAATACTATATCTACATATATTACTAGTATGCACAATTTATATAGCGCCAACACTTTGCTCAGTGCATTACAATGAAAAGGAAGACAGTAAAGTTACAATACAATTTAAGACAAGATGGTTAGGAGGGTCCTAACCCTGAGAGCTTACAATCTAAAAGGGAGGGACAAGTGATAGAAGGTAGCTGTGTGGGGATGAATTGTTTGAGAAAGTTAGTTTAAGTTGATAGATAGATGTGAGACGGGCTTCCCTGGAGAGATGAGTTTTCAGGGATCGTCTAAAGGCAGAGTAGAAGATAGTCACTCAGTTTGGGGTAGAGAGTTCCAGAGGATGGGAGAGAATGTAGTGAAGTCCTGGAGACAAACATGGGAAGAGTTGACGAGGGAGCTGGAAAGCAGGAGGTCTTTGGAAGAGCGGACGGTTAGGATAACACTTTGAGACAAGGTTTGAGATATAGCCGGGGGCAGAGTTGTGGAGGATGGCTTTGTAAGTGGTTGTTAATATTTAGCATTTTATTCTTTGGATGATTGGAAGCCAGTGGAGGGATTGGCAGGGGGGGGTTG